ATGTATTATATAATGTATTGTCTATATCAACATTTTCATGAGTTCTGCATACTATATCAACCATTTTTAATGTCTCACGACTTCTATCATTTATTTCATACCTCAAAACCATTTCAAATATAAGGAAAATGGAGAATCCATTCAAATGTCCATCATTTCATGTTTTTTAAGAAATTTGAGAATGTAGAATCCATCCAAATGTCCTTCATTTCATGTTTTTTCTTTATATGTTTATATATCATAATTCTCATGGTGACATTTAATGGAAGAGATACGTTTTGTTAAGAAAATATTGCAAAAACTATTTTCTATAATTGTCTTCCTACTATAATAAATAAATTGCTTCATCTACAAGTTTATAGATTAACCACAATCAATATCGTGATTATTTATTCTTTGGTTGGATTCCATAAACCACAATCAATATCGTCGTTATTTACCGTTGTTGGATTACCATTAACTGTTAAACCTTAAACTTCCTATCTAATTCAAAATATCTTCAAGAAATATTCCTTTCTCCTCGAAAGAGATATTTTTTTAAAAAATCGTCTAAATATTCTATCCTACATTTGCGTAACCTAAATATATATCGTCCCTACCTATTATAAATATAGCCTCTCTTGACCACTATATTCATCATTCCTTGAAAAACCTAAAACAAAAATGACGAATAATTTGCAGTTGTCTTTCTTGAGCGATATAAAACCGAGGAAGACTGCATGTCGCATACAAGTCAAAATCCTTTATACATGCGACATTTCATGAAAGACATATGGGAGACCATGGAACTAACTCTTTGTGATGCAAATGTAAGTTTATCGTTTTATATAGATTTATGATTTAGAAATTTTTATTTAGTAAGTTTTATATATTTAATATAAAAGATATAGGCCTATAAACATATTGATTTATAACTTGATATGCAATTCTATTAGTGGTCAGAGAGTAGTTTGTTGTCTTTGGGGTAAATTTGCTGAGACTCTTCATACAGCTAGCCAGGAAACATAAGGCATGGTGATATGTCTTCTACAATTTGCTAAGATTGGGAAATATAGAGGTATTCCTTAAAAATGTAAACTTCTGTTTCGATTTTATACTAAATGACCATTGTTTATATAGTTGGAAATATGTTTCTACTAACTCAATGTTTTGATCATCCCTTCAATTTTATGTTTTATGTCAGAAGAAATTACTCAAATTCTTATAATTTATTTTTGGTTATAGGTGAGGTCCAAATCTCAAATGCTTATGATGTAAATAGGGTTGCGAATCTGAATCATCACCCACGGGTCTTGCCCTGTTTGACCTGCTGCGGGGCAGGTGCAGGTCAAACAATTTGAAAAAATTGTTAGGCGGGTGCGGGTTATGAGTATTTTATGTGGGGCGCGTGCGGGTTGGTAGATTTTGAATAGCAGGTTTAGGGTTTAGGCCATGGACCCATCCAATTTTGGTTTCAATCTAATATGTGTTTTAATTCTTGATACTCTCACAACACTTAATTTTCTGATTCTTGGTTTAACCAAAAACTGACTCGGTTATGAAAAACTCAATGAAAATACCCTACTAAAAAGTTAAATAAATTTCACATATAAAACTATCATATAATAGAAATCGAATCAATTGATACATTTTGTTACAACCAAAAAAAAACCCACGCTTGAGAATCTAGTTTAGTTTTTAAAGCTAAAGTTAAAAAAAAATTTAAAATAGTTGTAGCACCCTTGTTTTCCAAAGCATTATTTTGTATGCTGTAGAGAATAAATATTGCTGTAGGAATATCTTTTCATTTTTATTATTTTCTCATTTAATTTTTATAGCTACATTTGCTACAACTACATCAAAATATCTACAATTAAAATTCTACAATAAAACCTTTACAGCTACATCCTAAACAATCACCCTCTAGATCTTAAGTAATTAATATATTTAAATATATAATTTTTTTGGATATATTCGGATATCCGATATATTTTGGTACAAATTGGGTTCAGATCCGGTGCTTCATATAACAAAATTTTGGATCAATTCAGATATGGAAAACCTAAACTAGTATTTTTATTACTTCTTTTCATCTTTACCTTAACCATATTTATTATTGGTTGTAAAGAGGTAAATAGACACTTATAACCCTATGATTAACTAATTTAGATTTCTGATTTAGATTTGAGGGGTGTGGTTTTGGAGGTTTAGGGTTTAGAATTTTAAATAAATATAAATAAATACTTAAAATTAAATAAAAATTAAAATAGTTTTAAAAAGTATTTTTGAATTTGAAAAAGAATATCTGAAAAAGATATTAAAATTTTTGAAAAAATAATTTTCATTTAAAAAAAATCGAATTTGAAAATTTATAATTCGAAATCCAAAAATTATTTTTATTTTGTATTTATTTAAATAATTATTTATGTTTATAAATCAAGAATATAAATGTCTTCATCTCCTTGACGAAGTCTTATACTTAGGTATTTTTGAAAATGTTCATTTAAAAAGAATAACGTGCATAATAATACCAAATGAAAGGTAAAAGTGAAATTTTCCTTTCGTATTTCAATTCATGTTTTGTATAATTTTTAGGATAGTTTTCAAATATTTTTTCCAAACATAAAGCTTTGATATTTTTTTTATAATTTTAATCATTTATATATCGATTTGTAAAACAAAAATAAACATTACCCACATTTTAATGCGAGTCAAAATCTAGTCAATACTATTAAAACATAAACACAGTATGTGACCCAACTTGAACCTATATAGAATATTAAAATTATTATATCCTATACAATTTTAGATAACCTATAATATTATTAACTCTACTAGAGTCTTTGTCCGTGCTACCCGCGGAAAATGCTTTTACAAATTATTTTGATAAATTAATAGATACAAAATAGTTGCTCTAATTTTTTTTTATAAAGTTTTGTGTATTTTAAAAACAAATTAATGAATTTATAATTAATAAATCAGAAATGTCTAAAAAGTAGTACAAATGTAGATAGGTTGAGTTTTCTTTAAAGTACATATTATTGCTTTTTGAATGTGTTGTGTTGCTATTTATTTTATCATGTATTCTTTTAGTGTAAAATCTTATTTTGTATTTTTTCATTAGAAGTATGTTTTGTTTGAAAGTTTGTTTGGATTCAACGTTATTTGTCGTATTTCATTGTTTTACCATATATATATATATATATATATATATTCATTTAGCTGTGAAAGTGAAAAAAAATTCTTGGTTGTAGCTAGTTAACATAGTTCAGATTTCAGAAGAGTAAGTAGCTTATTTTGTTTTTTTTTTGTGCTAAGGTTGAACTCCACTTTCGTGCGATGTTTTATATTATGTTACGATAATTGAAGTTATGTTTTTGTTTGGATCGTTTGATTTTCTGCTTTGGTTAGGATTCACTTTTGTACTTCCTTTTTAAGTACAATTTAAAATATTGTATATGGTCCTTTAAAAAATCAATATGATAATTTAGATATTGTCTTTGATCTAATGTCCAGACATCATAAGAAGCTAATGTTGCCAAAACATATTAAACTGACTTTCAACTTCTCAATTCATAAAACGAAAAATATGCACTGACTAAAGATTCATGACTTAAATGGTAGAAAAAGAGAAATAATTGAACTCAGCCTTGGTAGTCTTTCCATAAAAAATTTGCTTCCGTGTCTTTAAAAGCTTTAACATCTACTTTGTCTGCACCAAAGATTGAAGTTAGAATGCCTGAAAAGTCCATCTATCAAGCTCTCATTAGACTCCATAAACGTCTAATGATGTTGTGAATAACACCAAACCTTTGGACGAAATAGAGCTACCATTGGCTGAAATACTGGGAGAAGCTTTAGTCAAAGTCAAACATGATCACCTTCCTTATCGACGCAGCCGAATATCACAACATCATCTTTCCATGTTTCCAACAGCTTTACCAGATTTTCCATCATCTTTCAAAAAGTCTTGTTTTGTTGATTTCTTCATCGATGCAGCCGATGTACCTCGTTTGAAAGAAGGTTTTACCTGCCAACAAATATAAATTATAATCGAGGTTCAATATCTAACTGAAATGTTCACTTAGCTATAGCATGCATAGTGATTAAAACAGTCAATGCAACGCTTCATTCAAAGTTGATGGCAACGAAAGCTGAGAAAACATCTTATATATACCTAGACAACTCCAGTCCACCGTTCTGGATGCGGTCTGTGAGGTTCTGAGTGAAATAGCAAGGAGGTCTCACCTGTAACAGATATGAGGAGAATATATACATAGAAGTTTTGAACTAGCAGAAACATGGTGAATTATCCTAAACCTAAAGCAGACGGAAAATTATATATACAACTCACTAGTCAAGCAAATTATCAATGAGGAAACTCAATACAAATCTGTCAAAATATCGCTGAAATAAATCTTGCTCAACCCAATATACACAGACCCATTTCCAGAGATGAAGCAAAAGACCTCAAAGGATCTGTACACATAGTCTCTTTAATTTCCACATTCTATTTAATAATAACTCAATATCAATGCATAGAAACTGAAAAATATTATCTAACATCCACCGGTTCAGCATGTTCTGGCCAAGCTACCATGAATATCTACTCAACGTAGCAAACTTCCCTCTTTTCTCACCTATTCCCTTTGTGGAAAAAGGCATCCCTGGTTTGTAAAATGTAAAAGTCTATAGGACAGATTCAACAATCTCTCAAACACCACTAATAGTAAAATGTAAAACCAAAAACACTATAGGACAGATTCAACAATCCCTCAAACATAAACTCAATGTGTCTATTCACTTCACTCTGCAAACGCGGTTGTGTAAGGTTATATCCACATTTCAAAAAATGAAAAAAAGGAATATTAATAATCACAAACAAAAAAATGTCACACTCACACCCAAGAGAAAGCTCAAAGCTTTGTCCGAACATCCAAAGAAAAACTTCAATCAGGATACTGAAAAAAGTGAAGAAGAGAGTGACCTTTAGACTCAGATTTCTGATCACCCTTTAGTTCTTATTTTGGAGCTTTAGGAAAGTACTTCTCATAATCTGCAATCCACACAACAACCAATCTGATTCACTGAGACATCACAAAAATTAAGCCAAAAAACTACAGCTTTTATTTAAAAACATACTCTTCTTCTTGGGAGCTTCGTCCAAGAAGAATCGACGAAGTCTTGGATTAGCCCAAACACTAATCAAATCGTTTTCTATAAGTCCCTTTCTTCCAGTCAACGAAGCAAAGTGTCGACTCAAAAACCCTAATCCACCGCATTCCACTATCACCGTACAAAAATCCCTAATATCTCACCCAAATCAAACAAACAATCAATAGAGATCTATAAATACAAAGATGTGAGGAATGTGGAAGGAGAATTCCATTGAATGAGAAAAACAAAGAATTGATTAGAACAAAGAGTGGCTTAATCAATCTGCAAAACCGAAGAGAAGAGAATGAAGATCGGGAAATCGAAAGGAATGCGAAGAACTGATTTGTAGGATTTAACCAAAAATCAGATTTAAAAATCAGACCGAAAACCAAACTGGTCCAATGATAAACCGAATCTGACGTGGAAGATAGAAGCCTATTATTGGTCAATTAAATCTACCGACGTGGACAAGGTAAGAATCCTTTATATGCTCCTTTTAATAGTAAATAGATACCCTTAAATATAGCTTAAAGATGGTAAGATTTTAGAAAGTAAGTCTAAACCAATATCTCAGCCAAATCTATACTATTAAAGCAGATGACTGTTTTGGTTTCTGTCCCTGAACTTTCTAGGAAATTACAAGATTTGCCTCTTTTTTTAAAAAAAATATATTGTAAAACTGGACTTTTTCTTTTTATTAAATGGGCTTCACGAAATAAGCTTCAATATTTCGGATCTGCAAATGGGCTATAACATCTTCAAATGTTATAATCCTATACCCTAAACTCTATTCAGATAATCCTATACCCTAAACTCTATTCAAACCCTATGCAAACCATATCTACAATCCAGTTCCCTAACCTTATTTTATGTACATTAACTGAAATGTTATTTATAAATACTAACTCTATTCAAATTAATCCAATACTAATGTATACAATCTTAGTTCTTAAATAAACAAATTATGTTATGCAAATT